GAAAGGAGAGAAATGATTTTTAATCTACAGCTTCTATGAGTGATACTTGCTTTGTGTGCTATCACCCTTCTATTCAGCTGTTCTCCCCTTCCAAGCAGGTAAACCTCTGCTTAGAAGAAATTATCTCTTCTGCTGAGCCTCGCCGCAGTTCACAGCTGTCATATACAAGCACTGTACTTGAATATGCATTTTTAGAGCTAGCCAGTCTTAAAGAGCTTTAATCTTTTCTCTTTGCACATGCAGGGAATGTCTAGGAGCCAGAGACCCCTACTGTGGCTGGGATAGCAAGCAGAAGCGATGCACCACCATTGAGGACAGCTCCAACATGAGCCTGTGGACTCAAAATATTACTGAGTGCCCAGTAAGTGGAAGGAGTGGAAATATTTTATATCCACTGGTGTGTGACTGTGTAAGTGTAAATGGGAGAGAGAAGGTGAGTGTGTGGTAGCCTGATGCTAAGAAGCTGCCGTAAGACAAGCTGGTCTCGTACAGCTGCATCCTGCTTGCTCTGCACTCTGGAGTGACCTGAGAGGGGATGAGCATGAGCACTTGGCTGTTAGGGAGCATGCCGAGCCCAGCAGCAAATGTTTTTGCTAATTCTGTGCACAGCCATACGTTTAGAGCACAGACATCTCAATGCGTTTGTTTGCCCCAAGAGAGAGGATCCAAGACAAGCATTCAATCCCCTTCCTGCCCACCCTTGCCTTGAGTGGAGTAGGTTGGATCATGCTGTTGAGTTCAAGCTCAGATGAAACTGGAGCCACCTCAGGGCTGCTCCGCTGTCTGCACTATGTCCTTGGATTCCCTGTAGATCTGGGAAATCTGAATAGCTGATGAGCAGCTGATGACAGGCTGTGTCCAGTTTGCTCCCCTCTTAGACCCCAGAGCTGGGCACAGGAGGTAAAGCTGGTGAAGAAGCATTGCACTGGCCAAGGGTAAGACATCTGAGGAGCAGCTGAAAAACAGGGCATGGATGGTTTGCAGGTACAGTATATATTAGAGAACAGGAGGGAACAGAAGAGTGTACAGAGAGAGGAAGTATGAGAAAG